CGATCTGGCTAATCTACATGCCTCCGTCGAAGGAGGCATGTAGTCTAGACACACCCTAATAGAACACTTTAAAATAAACAACCTTTACTTAAATAAACAGGGATTAACAGAATTAGAAATGAATAGCATTAACAAAACATATAACAATAATTGAAGCTTATTCAGCTATCATTTGTACTAATAGTGACCCCACCCCAGAGTGTGCACATCCCTAGACCCAGTCCCAGACACTTGCTTGCGTTGGGGCACTGATGTTGCAGCTGTAGTGAAGATTTGGTGCAGGCTAAACAGCAGCTCTGTCCCAGGCAGCACTTTTCCAACAAGGCCCAAAACTTACTGCCTCATGCTGGGCCTAAAGAAAGCAGCCTGCTACCTCCCAGTTTCAATAGGCAACAGTCTGTAGCTGCATCCAACAGCCCCTGGACTGGGTCAATGTCCTTGGCAGCACCCTGGCTCCCCCTTTGGTTCCACACTCCAAGGCAGAGTCCCAGACTGCTAGGCCTCTTTCTTCAAGCACATGGAGAGAGCCTCCTCTCTCCCCCCAGAGTCCTCCCTTCCTGTTTTGTTCCAAGGGCTCATGGGAATTGTAGTCTGGATTGTAGCACACAGGGTCTTTTCAGAATAAAACAGAGGCCCCTTTAGTAAAGGGACTACATGTAGAGTCAGTTATTCTGTTAATCAAAGCAGATTGATCCATGACGTCTTTCATTCTTCTTGTTTCTGAAATGTGGGGATGCATGAGACAGCAAACGAACCCCCCAAAGCATTTCTCACCATGCATATACACATTACATTTATATTGGGCCTAATCTGCTCATAGTTTTTGTTCTTGTAAAACTATGTTGATTAGGAGATTGATTTTTTTTAAACAATAGATATAGTGATACAGATCCTAGTTTGAATGATGCAGGTATGCAGTTGTGAAGATGAATTATAGCAGAATAGCTAATTCCCCTTCCTTACAGGAATCTATTATATATTTGAGAGAATGTGTCTGTCTGTGTGTTTGTCTGTTTGTTCAAGAACTCCTCCTAAATGGTAAGAGCTAGGGTGAACAGTTTCCTCTGATCATAACTTAAAAGCAAGGTAAGGGTCTGATTGTGCCAGAAAAATGGGATGTGCCTGGAATGGGATTGCTTCCCAGAAAACCATACAGAAAAGAGACAGAATCACCAGGCAAATGAACTGGGCTGGCTGGGGCTGCGTCCTCTCCCCTGGGGTTGCCCTAGCTCTGAGCCTCCCACTCCCTTTAGGAGAGTGAGGGGAAGTACACTTTAGCTGCATTTCTCACTCTGGCTGAGTAGTGCAGGGGACAGGCGAACCTGGACCTGCCCCAGCTGGGGGACATACACCTCCCTCTCCCAACAGAGCCTGCTGGAATTGCAGTGGGTGGCCAGGGAGAGGTGCTTCTCACCAGCCCCAAGCTGCTGTGTGAGAGAGGGCTGGGGTAGTACTCTCTCCCTGGGGCAACCTGCATACTGAACCCCTCATCCAAGCCCGACCCCAGAGCAATGATTCAGATGAAGCATGGACATTTTCATTTAATTAAAAAAAAAAAGTAATTGAGTTAAGAATATAAGCAATGCCAGGTAAATCTTTTAGTAAGCTATATCAGAATAAACACTTTTATACTAAGTATTCACATTAAGGGTTGTAACAATATAGTTGTATCTGTAACAATCATACCTTTAATTAAAATAGCTATATAGATACACGAACTGTGTTTAGACCAAATCTAACAATAACTCAGAGCAAAATTCCATGGTTCATAAGGTACCAAGTCAGGAAAGCATTTACATTTAAACATGTGAAATTCCCTTCAAGTTTAGCACACACTTCAGTGTTGTGTTGGGCCTATATGAGCTAAGCTCTTGCTGACTTCGGTAGGAGTTTTCTTGGATGAGGCCTCTTGGTCCTGAACCACTGAGAACAATGGCAGATTTCTTCAATTTCACCTCACAAGAGGAAAGACCTCACTGTAGCACAGTGTTTCTCAAAGTGGTCCACGGAGCCACTCTGAGAAAGCTGCTAGCAGGCTGCTCTGGATTGTTTACTTACCAGTTCCGCAACCACGGAGTCTCTCAGCTCCCATTGGCTGTGGTTCATCATTTGCAGCCAAGGAGAGCCATGAGAAGCATCATGACCCAGGCCAGAGTGGCCTGGTAGCAGTTTTCTCAGAGTGGGACCGCAGACCACTTTGAGAAACAGTGCTCTAACATTACTTGGCATGGGAAAACCCAGCACGACATTCAACCTACAGTACAAGTGTCTCAGAAATTGCTTCTCTGCAGTTCCTGGAGTAGTCATGCCATAAGTCTCAGTTTAATTATTCTGACCCAGATCTATTAACTAAGATTATAGTATGACCATGTGGCTTACCACTGTAGGGGTAAAGAGAGGTAGAGAGCACCACATTGACTGGGTGTGGGTTACATTAGTGCTAATGTAACATCCACATTTTACATCGTTTTCCAATTTCCTCTAAAAGACAGCATAAAATTCAGTGCCTCAGCTCAGAAATGACCAAGGAATAAAAACCATCAAAAATAGATCATGAATTCCTTTCTGCTTTTAGAAATGATAGGGAAGAGGGAAGTGTACTAGTCCAGTCAACAGACATTAAAAAGGAAGCTTAGGTGGGTGAGAACATTGATTTACATGTAAATAATTTGTAGAAAGATTAGCTAACTGTTCCAATATTACCATGATAAAAAAATAAGAAGTTTGTTCTTGGAGATGAAACAAAGATGTTTAGTTCATGCTGCTCGTATGATCCTTAATATAATGAAATAATGATACATAGCTACCCTGTAGGTGCAAAATACTATAAAAAAGGGTTTAGTAATATGCACAAGACAGCATAATCATCACTTTTTGGTAAAATGGCTCCACCCTGGCTTTAGATTTGTCACGGCAGAGCAGAGAACATTTGTAAATAAATAAAGTTGTAAATAAATACAACTCTGCATAGTAGGAATCAGAGACTTCATGGGATAATACACATGAATGGAAAATTGATATAGAAGGATACAGCTTGCTCAGAAAGGACAGGCAGGGGAAAAAGGGAGAATGTATTGCCTTAGCTATTAAAAATGTAAACATTTTGATGGAGATTGACGAGACAAACTTGTTGAAAGTCTCTGCTAAGAATAAAAGGGATAAAAATAATGATGTTGACAGAAAATGGAATGAAGAAATAACCTTTAATGGGATTCTATTAATGATCCTAATGACCCTAATATTTTACTTAATTAAAAAAATTTGTAGTTTTGTA